GAGATAAAGGTTATATGAGGGGTGGAAGGAAGGACATACTATCCCAGGTTCCGACGAATACCCTTTCAGGTAATCTATATAAATAAAACGAAAAGTGTGACTGTGAGGTATGCATGGACCTGAGTGCAACCAAACTTAGTATAATGGTAGCAAACCTTCAGGAAGATGTTACATGCTATGACCAGATGCACCTTGGCCCCTGGGGCTACTGAGAGACTCAAAACTTATGCAAATTCTGCTTCTGGTAAAACCTTCAAGGCTCATTACATGCCAACTTTCGTATTCATCACTTTGTTCTACGTCCAGGAGAAGATTGTATAGTGGATCTTCATCCAGGCATAGCTCGAATCAAGATTGTGTGTATTGAAGATAATGTGTAGTGAAGACAATTGAAGTGCGATACATGTTCAATAATCGAGAAGGAACAGACGAGAAGGAATATGTGCACAAAAGTGATAGAATTTCATACATATGTTGTATTTAGTGTATGTTTAGGCGAGCGAGGGGAATAATATATGAGTGAGCTGAAGATGTATAAAAAAATGGTCATGAAAAGTTATTGCTTAGGGGAAGCTTCCAACTACTCCCTTCAGTATATTTGTTGTGAATTTACAAATATAAATGAAGTGATAAATTAGTTGTGTATTGAACATGAACCCGAGGTGTTCTGTTGGAAAGGAACGTGCCATTATTGTATCAATATTGCATTACAGTATTATGAAATGTATCTTCATTACTCATGAAATCAGCGCTGATGTGCTTAGGAGAAGTGGATTGAGAAATATAACCCATATTGTACAGATGAGAGTTATACTGTGACTTCATACGTTTAGGGTCATTAGAGTTGTGACCCGAGTTACTCTACCTTCAAAACATAGCATTGTTGTAATGAGAAATGCACTCACTATAAAATAACATCTCAGAAATTTGCAAAGTTGCAAAATAGTTACGAACTAGAAGTTTCTGTCTCATATGTCACTGAATGTTTGCATGTATGTGAATATTCTTTCTTAATAGAGTTTACAGGGCTGAGCTTCATCTCATGGGACTAAGCTTTTCAACTACCAGTTGTATAACATGATGACTGCAATTACTTTAATTTCTTGTTATATATGCTTTTATAACTATGCGCTGAGTTATCATCTCTTTTCCCTTCTTTTTTTTAACCTTTTTACTTTTTAGGTCATTCCACTTGCTTAAAAAAAACTCCACTAAAAAAAGTGTTCTATGCATCATTTTGGTTCATCTGCTTGTCTGGCCTCCATTATGCCCTCTAGTTATGTTGCTGCTGAACTTAAATGTCTTCTACCAATCTGTTATATTTATCCCCTGACAATTTTATATTTCTGGATCGTGTCCCAACTATTTCTCCTTTTTAAAGTGTCCTGATGCTGAGCGCCCTCATTTCTTAAAGTGGTCTTGTTGCAAAGCTCAGTATTTTCTTGATCTGTGTTTTTATATTCTTTTGTTGTTGGGGTTCCATGGTGTTACTGCATAAAACAGTATTGGTCAGATGTGTGCTGCATGTAGCATTCTGAAAGTATTCTTGTCGATACCTGAAGGCTATCCATAGTATATACTGATGATGTGATGCTAACTCTGTGTGCCTATGATGATTGGTTTAGGATTATGTCATAGACTGTTTTATCTCGTTGACATTTGTAAATTTCTCCTCTTCAATATGTAATGTGTGTTTGAAAGGCATACGTTTCAAACCATTGTGAAAATATACAGAAGCCGTGATGAGGATTCGAATCTATGCGCTGGGTATTCCCAGTGTATTCTCTCTAATTTTGTGGATTTTCTCATTGATATATATATATCACGTTACTGTGATTTCTCTGTTTTCAACCCATTTGTAGTTTATTATTAAACTGAAATTCAAATATATATGTGTCATATGAGTCACTAGTTTTCATATATACCTCCTCATTCTGTTGTTCCTCACTTTAAACATTACTTCTTTGTTTACGTTGTCAGATCCTCATTGAACCTTATGTTATGCTTTCCCTGTCCCTTCTGTCCTCTAGTTCATTGATGTACATTTACATCAGTGTTTTCTCTATAAAGTCCGCTCAGATTACGACTGCTAGACTTTTTTTGTTTTGTAAAATGCTTTTTGGTGCAGGGGTTATCCATGTTATTCCTGATACTCAAGATTGGGTCTCATGTAGATTGCATATAACACTGTGTGTGTGACTTTGGTATTGAAATTGTGAGTATATATACTCCCAGGTTTTCTCCTTTTTTCAGCTGAAATAATGCGTCTCCTTCAGTCTATACTGTTGTAAGTCTCTTCTCATTCATGTTCCTATCCTCAAAGTCCAGTAGCCATTTATCAAACAACCTCTGGAGTGTAGGTACTTCATTTTACACTGTACAAAGTCGCCCACTATTCTGATTATTCTCGATAGTTTTGCATCTTCAGTAAAATTGATGTGAATGAAACTATTTGCTGTGCTTGTTCTCTGTCAAATGTTTGGAACAAGTTGGGCTCTAGTACACTAGCCCTTGTGGTGCTTCCCTCGTTATCTTTCTCCAGTGTGATGTCTTTCCTCTCACTTTCTTAGAGGTACTTCTTCATCCAACTTAACAATCTTATGGACACATCATTCTGCTTTTCTAGGTGATGTTCTTTGTCAAAATTCAGCTGTTCTCTTTGTTCTAACATTATCCCTCGGATCAGTCTCTTTAGTAAATTAATTGTTTATGGTTCTTGCTGTACCGCTTTCTTGTACTGTATCCCCTATTCCATAATTTCCATTTTACCTTCAGTCAATGCCCCGTAAAACTATGGGATATTGCTGTTTTTTTATCTTTCATTGCCTTATTATTCATAAACTAAAACAGAGTCACTAACCCGTAGAGAGCATATGTTAGATGCTCTCATTGTGTTTCATTGTATGTAACGACCAGATCTAGCCCAGCTAGCTGATCTCTCCATGTCTCCACCACCTTTCCTCTGTAACATGTTGTTTCCAGAAGTTATTTTTTCCATTTCTTGTAGCTTCGTTCTTTCCATGTTCCTTCTTTCCTTCTCGAGTCAATTAGACCATTATTTAATTCTCCAGTTAATAGTAGATTTGTTGTCAATCTGTTGGCTGTCTCTGCTATCTATTATACGATAATAATTCAGGATTTATTTGATGTTTGTATTCTTATCTCATGTTTTCCTTGATTCTCTTGGGGTTGTAGATCATTGTCACTACCATTTTCTTGCCATCCATTGAAATGAAGTGTATGATGTGTGTCTGTGTACTTGTTTGGCTATTAAAACCAGTTTTTTACCAGCATTGTCACTCCTTTCTCCCCCCTCTTCCCCTTTTACTTATAATCTCAACATACTATATGATAATCTCTGATAAATAGGGCATAAGTAATCATTTCAATCTGCACTGTTACTAACACATCAAGATTTCTGCGCTCAGCTATTCTTTAGATTCACTTACTTTATTTGACAATCCATGACCATTATCAGATCCTCAGACTCTTCATTATTATTCTGTATTGTTTGCCAGAGGGCCACCATGTCAAGTGGCCTCGACAGGAATTGGAAATTTACAGCCTAAGCAGGTGTATTGCCATGGGTTTATGCTAGTAGATATAAAGGCATCTTCTGTTGCTTTTATCTCCCCTAGTCCTGCATTCTGGAGTATTCATCTTGAAGCTGCTGCGGTTTGTTTCAGTTACAGTGAATCTTCTAAAGAAGTGGTCTTCTAATTTGTGCAATATTTTAAGTACCTCGATGAGATCATCCTTATCGTTAGTCTTGAGGCCTTCAAAAAATTTCTAGTGTGATATCTTAGTTCTTGGATATTCTTGCCACTCTGTGTTCACCTCCTAAAGCAGTAATATCCTTGTGAAGGTGAAGTGTCCATAATTGAATTCACTATTTCAGGTGGGGAGACCCTGTGATTTCTAGAAGGCAAAGGTTAGTTTGGATTTGGTGTAGGAAAAACTGTTTGGAAGAGAGTAGGTAAGTGAAGGAGGATTATACTGGAAGATGATGGAGTAGGAGACAGGAGACTTGTGGATGGGTATGACATAGAAGAGAATGAAGTTGGGTATAACGTAGTGTTGTTATGTTATGAATATTAAAGGGAAGGTTATGGATACTGATGGAGTGGCAATATCTTGGTGCATTGTGAGTAAGTAACCTTTTTGGTTGGGTTGGAGAGGCTCTCATTTAATATTTTATGTTAGCTTTGGGAGCTGCTTGTGGCTGTCTTGCTGGTTATCCTTGTCATAGACTGGTTGTCTTGTTCCACTGTTGCAGCCATTTGAGGGGGGAAAGGTGTGATTAGTATCCCCTGCCGAAACTGCCGAGCTTTTCCTTTTCCTGGCTTACAATTCTTCCCTTCCCTGCCCTTTCTCTGTTAATCTATCATCCTCTTCGTCTTAATTGTCTTTCTATGTATGAAGTATGTAACAGTGATAAACTGCAAGTTTTTTAAATCACTGTATTTAGCAATATCTGGAGTATTAATTGGAGTGGAATTATTGGAGTGTTAATGCCAGGCATAGTATACATGGAAACTCTTGCAGAGGATGTCTGTTATAGAATAAACATTTGAGTGGCGTATAGTATGAAAATGTGTGAAAAAAGTACATAAAGAAGAATAGACTGTATTATTATTGAGCTTTGGAAATATTATTTCAAAATGACTGGTACTAGTAAGGCCAAAACATGCTACCAATTTGCAATTTACATTATGTTTATAGCGAATAACATATAATAGTTATGTATCAAGAACTGTGTACTTTCAGCTGTTTCTCAAGACTTATTGATATTAATCTATTTAACCCACCCATTCCTTAAAATATTGAGTAGAATATTTTTTCAAACACATCAGAGATTCAAATTTATTTTCTAATTAAATTAAATTGATTTTGTTATGCACTCAATTTGTCATTTAATAACTTTTATTACCTTGAAGCCAATTGGTTGTCTGTGATATAAAGATAGTGAACATGAGACTAATAGAGATGTACTTTCTCAGGGGCAGAGATCACAGCTCTTGCAGAGCAGCTGGGATATGAACGTGAGGTGGTAAGGATCTGGTTTTGTAATAAACGTCAAGCGCTCAAGAACACCGTCCGCATGATGGCTAAGACCAGCCCCAGTGCCCCACCCCCACCCCCACCAACACATCCAAGCATAAATTAGATACCACCAGAGGGTTCAGTAGATGCTTGGTCTATGAGGGTGACACACGTGCCCCGACGCACCGCCACTTACCACCTTGAAGCAACGAGATAACAGTGACTCTGACAGTCTGGAACTTGACCACTGAAACAACGCTCAAAGTCAAGCAGCCAGCCCGCACTCCTCTCGCCCTGTCTTCATTACGTTGTTACAAGTGGTGAACCGCAGTCTAATGGAACATCTTTGTGTGACATTCAAGCATGTCTCAAAAGCTCTCAGACCTTCAGCTAATCTGAAAAATAAACTAACCCTGCAAATGCTCGAGTGTCTGTTCGGTGTGCAAATCATAGAAAATGGAAAAGTAAGCAAATAATGAGCCTTATAGGTATATAGTTTGAGATTTAAGTGTCGAAGAAATAAATATACTTGTACAAATTTGGGAAATATGAAGTGAGAAATAACGTTTTCATGCTAGCATAAAATAACTATGATATTATACAATATGTAACATTTGCAACTGATTTTGATTGCCATAGAAATTGGAAAGAAACTTGCAAAATTAAAAATTCGCCTTGATTGATGAATTCAAATGTACAGTAAAATGCTGACTTAGTGGCTCCATAGAATAGTCAGACGTTAAAGTGATGTACATCCATTCTTAATTAAGGTGTTGGAATATAATGTTACACAGATATGTTTATATTTGTGCAACATATTATATATATATATATATATATATATATATATATATATATATATATATATATATATATATATATATATATATATATATATATATATATATATATATATATATATATATATATATATATATATATATATATATATATATATATATATATATATATATATATATATATATATATATATATATATATATATATATATATATATATATATATATATATATATATATATATATATATATATATATATATATATATATATATATATATATATATATATATATATATATATATATATATATATATATATATATATATGGCTCCTGGAAAAACCTAACCTTATAAAAAATCTAGACTACTGATAAAAGCAGGGTCTCAATAAAAATTATCCTTTATAATTAAACTGAAAACATTTATATGAATTCTCCAAGAGATAATGCAAGATGTCTGTGAGTATGAGTGTAAGGTAGTTTTATCAGTGCTGACAAACTTTACTGAGATCATTAGACCCCAAATGTAGTGTATGGGATGAAGCAGCAGTTGTGTGCTGGTAGTGAGGTGGTCAAGGAAACTTGGGTTGACCTATCCTCTTGCTGTGAGCTTGCAACTGCTAAGCCTCTCATTCCTGATTTCTCAATCTATAGATACGATTATGTTAACTTATACTGTATTGTATAACAAAGTGAAATATTGTTATACTCTATTGTATAATGAACTGAACTAATGTTGCACAGTGTGTGTGTAATAACCCTAGAAACTGACACAATGTGTTAATTATAAGTACATTTATCGTCTTTAAAGAAAAAATCTTTGTCGTTAATATTCCTTAAGCTTTTTGAAATACTCGCTGTATCCATGAACTAGTGATAGACAGCTGGAGAAGTGATGGAGTGGTCCGGGCTGGGGCCCCCAATGTCCCGTTAAGTCATATCATTATAGCGTCTCTGCTGCTCCCTGGCTGTCTGTGCTGTTTGTATATGTGTCACATAAAGTAGGTGGAGACGAGCTGCTGTATGTGCCCGATGGCATACACTGCCACCCTTTTGTGAGCAGGAACGGCTGCTCACCTGCCATCCTAGATTCACTTATAAAGTAGATCTCTCTTACCACCAGAGTGGCCACTGTGATTATCCCATGCAGGACCACTGCAGTGACAATCAAGATTATCTCACATACCACTAGAGCCACAACATTATGTCCTTTAATATTAGACCCACTTGAGTGGCCAACAAGAATTATATCGTGTAACTTGCCACTCACTGCAGTGGTCACTGCTGCTACCTATCCCTAATGCTTGAGCAGTCACTGAGCCTGTGTGGGCAGGAAGGTGCTAGCAATTGAGAGAAAAAGGAGGATTTAATGCAGGCCATAATTTCCCACAACCAGCAGCTGCTCTTGGAGCATCCTGCAGAGCAGGGCTGTCACATCCAAGACGACTGTAGTATTAATCCTTCATTTAGTGTGTTGTTACAAAGGGTGAAGCAGGAACTATGACCAGTAAACAGTTGAGAGTTACAGTTAATGCATATGTTTATGCTCTTGCAATTTGCCTAAACCTGATATTATCGTTCTCCAATCATTATTTTTTTCATTTAAATTATATATTTCCTCTCATTTTAAATAACAGATGACAAATGATCAATGTTGTAAAACTTGATATTGTTTATCATGCATATTATATTGTAATTTCAGTATTAATTTTAGATTGCATATATTTATTTACTTTTAAGTATATTTACCATATTTTTGTATATATTTGACATATCTCCTTAGATCACAAGTAATGTATGTACAATTTTCACATTCATTAGACAAGCAGATTACTTGTTATTGTGTTTGTAGATAGTACTCTAAAATTATTCATATTAATTTAATTAATGAAGTTAATAATAACCTAGTCATTTTTCTTTCACAAATTTCATTCATTCATTGGTTCTTGCCACAAGAATTATAAAGTATCTTACTCTAACATCGTCCATTATCATCACAACAGTAAAAAAATCAGAAACATGTTATATTTTTGGGGGGGTTCCTAGTTCATGATGTAGTCCCCAGAATGTAAAGTGTCTGAGATTTTGATGCAGTTTCAACAGATTTCCAAATTATCCCATATTCTAAAGCTGGCTTATGGTCCTCTCGAGCTGCCACATAAATAAGCAGCAATAGCATCGTCTAGATTAAATAGCTTTCAAATTTCTCCCCCCTCCCTTACCCAAGAGTTAGTGAAGGAGGAGGAGTCAGGTGGACTTGACAGAGAGCTGCTCTTGTAGCTCCCAGCGCCCTACACATAGGCATCAAATGATTGTTAGATTTTTGTTTTGTTCTGTTTTGTTTGTATTCTGTGATATTTATTTTGTGCCAATCGTTGAAGTGGTGAGACAATGTGTGCCGCTTTGGACAGTTCTAACATATTCCAGCCTGGTAGCTGCTTCTGTGTACAGTGTGTAGCTGAGAGGAGGCCCTTGAGGTCACTTTATGCATCTAATATTGTACAGTTGATGTATGTATATGTACCTTCCTTTTATGTCCAAGACATAATGCTGCATTTGCTAATCAAAATGAAGCTAGTTCTCCCACTGTGGCATAATGCATCTCTGAATACCGTGGTAATATCCCGCCGCCACTCAAGACACGGAGGATTCACCATGGATACATTGATCCCGCCCCTGGAGTTCCCATTATACCGTTGTGATGTAATGATTATATTAGTGTGGTCAAGTTTATCACATCTCCTGTTGTGCTATACTCAGTTCCCAATGAGTCATGTTGGCCTGAAATATCCGGACACTGCATCAACCATCATGGAATATCTTAGCTGAATATCTCTTGCAGGATTTAGAACTGTTGCAGACACGATTTCATATATCTATATATCTGTTAAACTCTTAATTATAACCAAAAAGCAGGTCAGTGCTAAACTATTGTTGCAATCCTTCCATATTCATACAAATAAAATGTTCCTAAACAGTAGTTTTGGGCAAATTTTTATAAGGATTTTTAGGCATCAGTTACTGCTGGAAGTATTACCATAGAAGTGTTCTTCCCCCACTGATGATTCTTTTGGCCACACTCACACCCTTCCGCTTATTCCCCGTCACACACGCCCAAATTTGGCATGATCTTACAAGGAATACTCTTCTCTGGTGTACTTATACACTATATTTCTCATACATAAACATTTATATGATTTCTTCTAGCTATTCTCTCACATGTACATTCCTTCAGAGATAAAACTATAATTCTTCTCATACATTTATGTTTGTCTTAGTGCAAGCAAGTGGCGACTGCTTCTCTTATCTGATACTTGAACAAGCATGCAGAATTCAGAAGAAAATATTTTGAGTGTTCCGTCAGAGTCTTCCATTCTTCGGAGTGCGAAGCAACAGCTTTTAAAAATAATCTGATGAAACCTACCTTGAGGATATCTACCTTGAGATGGTTCCCAATGATCAATGTTCCCATGGCTCGAGCTCTGACCAGGCCTTCTGGTGGTGGTCTGGTCAGTGAAGTATTTTCTCTCCTGCTCTGCATGTAAATAGGAAAACTAACTCGTCTGATAATTTATAAGCTTTTTATCTTCTTTCGACGAGCATACCATCTTCCTAAGGCCTTCATTAAACAAATGCTGTGATGGATATTTATTGCCTTAAAACTAATCCTAATTTTTATTAATGAGCCCACTGTAAACCTGCCAAGCACATGACCCATTTTAAGAGTAGCAGATTCGTGTGACTGCTCCACTTACCTTTTTACAGCTGACCTGTACTGTACATCCCAGCTGTTTACAAAGTTATACTAGGATCCTGTACAACGTCTGATGCATTAATGGGAAATTTCAGCAAGGTGTTGAAATGCATGCATGTATGCGTACCCACACATTCATGTGAGCACTCATGCATACACAAACGAACACACATGCACACACATACACATACACACACACATATATGTATGATATATATATCATGCATATATACATAGAAGGATTTTAAGGCATGGCATTAGACAATTAACAAACACAAAAACAAATGTACATTCAGCTGGTGTGAATTTCACTCTTGATTATGCAGCTCTGGCATTGAACCCACACCTGAAGGAAAGACTAGGAAACGACCTCACACCACTGGGAGGAATAAGGGGGGAGCATGATAATACTTTTTAAGAATCTAAGAGAAATTGACAAAGATGCAAAGCTAAGAGCTAGGAAATTAAAAACAAAGAGGCATATACGTAAACTACAAACAGATAAGCCATAGAGACATTTGAAATAAGTTCTGTTTAGAGTTGTAAATAACTTTGACTGGGTTCGACAAAGAAGTGGCTGAATCTATTTATACAATTTTGTATGTAAATATTTTTTGAAAAGTGAGAGGAGAATCAGAACATTAAACTACAAATTGTTCAAAAGGCAGGCCAGGAGCTGATGCTTAATCTTGCAAGTGCATCTAGGACCCGCCTTCCCCACACAGAAGTTCACCTAGCAGTAAATTGGTAGCAACTAGGGGCTGCATTCTGTAGATGTGTGTGAGATAAATATGTATTAGAAAGACAGGCCAAGTATCAGGTTATAAGACAACTGACGGTTAGAAAGGAAATACCAAATCCATCAGCTAACAATTCTAACCTGCAGGCACAAGTAGTGACACACACACAAAACCGTCAGTAGTTTCAAAACGTCTTATAACAAAAAGAACTGGGAAGACGGGACACCACGAGACTAGCTCTCATCCTGTAACTACACTTAGGTAATTACACACTCATATGCACACATACACATAAATACATTTGTACACATAATTTATTGCAGTTTTAATGTACAAACAGGTTCTATAAAGTTTTACTGCAATTTTTAGTACAGCTGTATTCCACCCACAAAACAAGCAAGAGAGATATGCCAGTGAGGAGTGATCAGTGTCAGGATAGGGCGCCACAGACCATACGTTGGCTGAGAATCGAGATTTTTTTTTATTGACACGAAGAATCACTGAACTAACCTGTTAAGGAGGAAGTGGCTTCGCT